GGCTGTTTGCTGCAACAGGCATATTGTGGGAGGCATAGGCAGATTTTCTTCTTTTTCTAATCAGGCTAAACTGAAACAGGCTGTTTGCTGCAAGGAGGTAGGTCAATAACTATAAATGCCTATAGAATATTCAAATTATTAGACTTATTTTTTAAAGACTGCTGTATTATTGTTCTAGACAACTTAACAAGAAGCTTTTAAAAATAAATACTTGAGGCCCAGTGCTATTATATCTTCTTTTAAATAGCAGAGAATAAGCCACATGAATTTTAACAGCATCTGTACAAGTACAGTCTGAAATGTAACACCACAAACAGTGTATATCTTCTGTACTGTTTGCTGTTTGCTGCAAGGAGACAAATTGCTGGGAGTCAGTGGGAAATTTTTCCCTCTTGTTTTCCTCCCTAAAAGCTAGGTGTGTCTTATACTTTGGAGCATCTTAGACTCTGAAAAATACGGTATTTCACTGGATTAGTTCTCCATCATAGTAGAAGCTCTGTATCAATCAGCAGTAATGATATGCTTCTCCAACTTATAATTTCCAGTTTTAGTCAGAATTATTTAATTTCCTTCTGTGGGGGTTCCTGGTGCTGCCTCAGCCTGCTTGTTCTCTTGCAGACATTTCATTACCCATCTAGATAATATCATCAACCCGGAGCTGAAAATATTCTCTTCTATTGGTAACTTCTTTCTTTATTGTGAAATGCAGTCTGAACAAAACAGATAACCCAATGCCTATACCTCATGCTTTCTTGTAAACACGTTTGTCTGGCAAGCTTTCTTGCTGTATATTTAATGATTTTATTCATTAATCTTGGGGTTCCATTGATTTAATGGAACATGGGACATAATTACATTATTTGTTGCTTTGAAACACATGCAATGTTACATTTACAATTCACCTCATTTTAATTGATGTATTTCATTTCAGAACCTGCCAGCTCAAGAAACCATTGAAGATCTGAAAGGTATGCTTCAAACAATATTCTATAGTAGAGGTGGACAACTATGGCAATGTGAGGCTATGAATGAGTTTGGGTCTTCTGTGAGACTATGAATGAGTTTGGGTCTTCTGGTCTGACTGTTTGCATGTGTTGTTGCAATCTGGTGGTTAGCTTCCTCCCCATTTGTTTAACCACCAGATCAGTGGTGGGATTCAATTTTTTTTACCACCAGTTCTGTGGCCGTGGCTTGGTGGGCATGGCATGATTTGGTGGGCATGGCTTGGTGGGCCTGGCAGGGGAAGGATACTGTAAAATCCCCATTTCCTCCCGATCAGCTGGGACTTGGGAGGCAGAGAATAGATGGGGATGGGCCCAGTCAGACGTGGTATTTACTGGTTCTCTGAACTACTCAAAATTTCTACTCCATAACTTGTCAGAACCTGCTGAATACCACCTCTGCACCAGATTGCAAGAACACAAGTGAGTGGTCAGGCCAGGGGACCCAAACTCATTAGTTACCTCACATTGCAATGAAGAAGGACATACATTTCATTTTACAACTAAGATCATTGGCCATGCAGGTGCAAATATATCCAGGGAAATAATTGAAGTCCAGAAAACAGGGCCCTTGTCAGTTAACAGGAGTGCTGAATTACTACCAGCTTATCAAATACCTAAGAGCCGAGGGCTTGACAACTCAAGGAAATGACAGCCAATCACCTGCCATCAACACAATAGTCAATAGGAAGACAACCCATAAACACAACTCACAAAGCAGCCTAAAGCACACATTTCATTAGAGAAATTCCATGAAGAAGGGCTTCAGCATGAGTCCAAAAGCTCGGAAGAATAATTCTCTGGTCCCAGAGACTGATCAAAATTCTGTTTTGCATCATTATCCTGGAACCCATATAGCTGCCATACATTCGTGTTTTCAGCATTTTTAACAGCAATAGTTTTTGAATTTTGACGACACTTAGAGTCATTTACTAAGTTGAGTAGCTATAGAAATTAAATAAACAAACAAATAAATAAGTGGTTTTTACCTTTAAAAAATAATGTTACATACTGAATATATTTTCATGATTTTCTATTAACCTATATTATTTTTTGTAGATTCTAACTCTAAAAAAAAAAGGTGCTGACAATTTAAATTGGGACGTATTCACTTTCCATTCCAAGCAATGGGATTTAAAGGCACATTAACTGCTAATTTTAAATAATTTTTTTGGAATGTCTTTTCTGAGAAAACTTCATATATCTTTGATTTGTAGTATCTCTCTGTATTTTTTTTTTTTTACTAGGAGTACTGGTTTCAGAAGAACAACCTGTCCCATCAGTATTGTTGACCTCACCCTGCATCAAAGCTGATATTTTACCTGCTTCTGTGACATGTATGTCAAATTCCACCACACCAGTAATAGTGGACAAGCCAAATGCAGTGGAGATTGTTATCAATGGTGGATCAAATGAAAAAGAAGAGAAGGCACAACCTTCTAACTATACTGGAGAAGAGGATGCTCCGCTGGATAAAGATGTGGTTGTTAAAAAATTGCCAAATCTTTCCTTATCCCAGTGTGATATTTTAAAAACAGGCATTTCTTTTGAGTCTTGGAACATGGACAGTCCTGTCCTCTTTTTAGAGGATTTAAATGACCCTACGTGTTTAAGGAAAGAGAATGTATTGGATGGGTCAGCTCAAGACAGCACAAGAACTGGTTTTCCTCAGTGCAATACTGTGGAGACTAAGAGATTTGCAGAAAGCTCTCCCTATATAGATGACTCAAAAGCACAGTTTGATGACTCAGAAAGTGAGATAGCTGTTGCAATTGTGGACAGTTCTCATTCTGGGGATCCATTCACATTACATGAACCCATTAAAATAGTTATCACCATGAGTAGCACCCATAACTCAGCTACTGATTTAGAGAGCTTGCATCACATGAAACGGTCAAGCGCTGAGAAATCTGGTTCAGATCCAGAATCTGCTGTGGCAGAGACAGTTCAAGACAGTAAACAAAGCAACAATCAAATGATAATCCCTGTCATTACTTTTGATCTATCGGAAGACAATGGAGGCCATGCTTTCCAAGAAGTAAGTGAAAGTTTGAGAACCCCAGAGAATTTAAATGTAAATGCGTCATCTAATCAGTGTTCTGGCTATGAATCTGGTGAACAAGACAATATTGGAAAGGAAAACAGTGACAATCCATCAAACAGTCGTGAAGGGATGATGTGTCCTGAAAATGCTTCTGAAATTCTAGAAGACCCAGAAGAAGGCCAGTGGAACTTGGAGGTGCCCTTATATAAAACAACTTATGAAAAGAGACATGCTCGTGTTCTTAGTGTGGATAGTGGGACAGATGTGCTTTTAAGTAAGAACTCGTTGGAGACAGTTAGTGGAAAAGAAAAACTTTTGCCCACCTCAAAGTCGGACCTGGAAGCTAAAGAAGGGCAGATACCAAATGAATCAAATTTCTTAGAATTTGTTTCACTGCTGGAATCCATCAACACTTCAAAGCCAACAGCACCAGATTTAAAAGCAGAGCCTACCAAAGATAAAGGACTAGCTGGAGGTACAGTGCATAATTCAAATTATTAGTTTCCAGTGCATACAAGAAATGTGAGGAATTTATGTGCAATAAAGGCAGTTTCCACTCATGCTAAAAGCAATAACTACCAATAAATATACATATATGCTCTAGAATATTAAATATTAGGTGTTCATAAATAAGTGTCAATAATAATTGATATAAGATGAATAAGGTTTTTTGGCTTCATTAAATGTATATTGGATTAGTTTTTAAGAAGACACATTGTCTCCTTGCTGATCTTAATCTTGATCTTTTACTGGGTTAGGAAAAAAACTATACATTTCTTTACTAGGCTTTAAGAGTAGCAGTAGAATTTAGATTTATATACCATTTTATAGTGTTCATTCACTAGAAGTCCTCTTCTATACCAAAATCCTTTCCAAATCAGCTTTTCCAGTTCTGTATCATATTTATGTTTTCAGACCCTAATTTACCTAATGCAAGAAAAGGATATGGCTCTACAGCTTTGAACAGAAGGACTTGTTGGTCAAAGATTGCAAAATAAACTATAGATTATAAAACAATTTTCAGCTATTTCCTAAATAAACTGACAAAATTAAAATCTAGGATAATCTATCAAAATGAATAAATTGAAGATAAAGGATGTTAAGATGTTTAATTTGGTGTTGGATACAAATTTAGGTGATCTTAAAGGATTATTACATAAACTTGTGAATGATCTGTCTTTCCATTCTATTCATTTTAGTATCTCCTTAAATATATAGCATATCTCTTACATATCAGATTGTGGAGAACAATGGGAGGAGAGCTTCCATTCTATTGTTTGTGCTTTTGAATTTCCTAGATATATCTGATTGGCTGCTGCTGAATAACATAAAAAGTTGGACTAGATTGGCAGCAGGCCTCTACGTATGTGGTTCTATCAACTTCTGGGAAAAGTAATTTTCACCAATATTTACAGTAAGTGGATAAGAATCATAGAGACCTAGAGGTTGAAAGGTAGCAACAGAATACTTGAAATATTGTATTATCAAAACAATCAATGTTACAGGTTAAAGAAATTAGGTTAAACTGGAGAACAGGTAATAAATGAATAGGATATTTTTTAAAAAAGAGAAGTCTATTGTCCCAGAGATAGGAGAAGGCAGTATAGTGCATACATACTCTGTCTGAAGAAGACAGAGAGTATAGAATTTAAGGCAGGAGAAGGAAAACCTGTTTGAAGTGAAGCTGACAGTAAAATCAAAGAGACAGAAAAGGAGGAAAAGGAAAGATTTAATGTCACATTTCCTACAGACTCAGGTTATGAATCACTTTGCCATCAATCCATACAAGCATAAAGGAAAAGACAGCAGATGATTCATTTAATACTTGTGATATTGCTACTTTTCAGCATCCCTAGTGGACATCAATCATCATATGTAAGTGCTTAGCCCAATAAATTTATTAACTTTGATCTCTAATGTGGGGCATGAATTAATGTGATCATAAATTGATTTCCAAAGGTCTGATCTTTGCTCTAGTAGTGGTGTGAAGACCTTTTTATTCGGGGGCTGGGGATGGGGGGGGAATACAAGCAAAAAATTTCCCGGGTGGTACATGGAAAGTTTTCTCTGTGTCTTTCAGATGGCTTTCTAAGAGAGAAAAAAGAGGGTGCATTGACAACAGGAAAGAATTGTGCAGAAAAAGAAAATCATGGTTCCTGTAAACAGGAGAAAACTGAGATGGAAACTCAGGATTGTACTAATGTTAATCCAGTGATCCCAGAATCAATAAAGTTCACTGCCCAGTAAGAACTAAGTTCTTTTTTTCAAGTACGCTGTAAAATGTGTTGGCCATATCCATTATAAAAGAACTCACGTCAAATTTCATTTGATCTATTTTCTTGGTTTCATGAGAAATTGCTTGGGTGGGGAAGAGAAAGATTTCACTTGCTGCTTTTGAAACTCTTTTCCTCCCTCCCCATTTTTCTTATTGATATTTTGACAAGTTATCAGAGCACCAGACAACGACAGATCATTTATCGGGTAACTTCACAGCCAGACAGTTCCCTTTTGCAAGTCATAAGTGGGCCTGAAACATCGGTGCAAGAAGAGATGTCCGTGGATGCAATGCACATCTATTCCTTCATAGATGGAAATGGTAACCTCATATGAGGGGTTGGGAGAGCTTTTCTTTTTACATTTAAAGTTTGGAAGGTTATCATCAGCACTTCAAATATGCCAGATAAGCAGTCCAAGTATGTATGTGTGCATTTATTTATTTCCCTCATTTATTATCTTTACAAATTACTCAAGAGGGCAAACATCCAACACACCTTCCTCCTACTTTCCCCTTTCATAGCCTCTTGACTCTTCTATCTTATTTTGCTTCATAATGTCCAAGATTTTGTCCTCTCCTCTCTTCTCCTCTTCTCTCCTAACTTCTTCCAAGCTTTAGTTTTTTCCCCTTCTCTTTTCCTCCCTTTGCACTTTGGCTTCCAGATGCTGCAACAGCCATCCTTGTTCTCTGCCATCCTTTCTCTTCCACAAACTCTCCTTTATAATATTTGAATGTGCTGTGGGCAATATCTTCAGTAGTTTATCCCCTTTCCTTTGGGAGGAATGTCAGTGCCACCAGTACTCAAGACCATCCACATTCTAATCTTGACCCTTAGCTGCAGCACTGGTCTATACTCTTTTAATGAAACATGGACTTAATTTGCTCTCTTTCCTTTAACATTTTCCCAATTCCAGTTCAGTCTATGAACTTCTTTCCTTCTAGTTCCCCCCCCCTCTTTCTTTCATAGTTGAACTCTGGAACTAAATTTTAATACCCAAATCTACATTTCAACAAACTTGCTAACATTCTTTCAGATGCCATTGTTGTGATTTGTCCACTGAAGCTTTCCAAAATCCTGCAGTATATAGGTGTATATACCTGTACATAAAATGGAACTAGGCAGTGGTGGGATCTTGCCAATTTAACTGGTTTGGTGATCGTGTATGCAGTTTTACCAAAACGTACCTTCCATGTTACTTCTTGGGGAGTAACACAGCTGAGGCATGGCAATCAGCTTTGCTGTGCTAATCAGCCGAGAGGATATAGGTTAGTAAAATGCAAGGCAGGCAGGCCCACCTAATCGTCGGAGCGAACCAGTTTGCTCTCAGCTGATTGTCGGAGCTACCGGTTCGCCTGAACTGGTCCAAACCAGCTGAATCCCACCCCTGGAAAATAGGACAGGTGCAATGTTACAAGAGGATTGTTGCCAGAGGCTGTGGCAAGAAACATTTTAAAATGATTGTGTTGCAGCAGTGCTGAAATCTGTCTTATCAGATGGAGCTCAGAGAATGCAAGTCATTGACAAGGATACCTTAAGATAGGATTTCTATTTCTAGAAAGCTGGCCTTCTAATTTTATGATTTCCCAGTTATAAAACTAAGTACATGGCAGATCATTGCTCAACAGATTATGTCTCCTTTTATTTGAAGGAGAAATGAAGTCCTTGTACTTAAGGAGTCAAGCAGAAGGAAATATTGAAAATTCACCCATCTATGATTGCATCTCCAATGCTCAGTAAGTAAACTCCTCATGTGCTGGATTGGGGGATGACTCCATTTCATTTCTGGAGTGGTTACTTAGTTTTCCAAAATTAAAGATTGGGAATATCATTTTCATAAAATGTCCATATGCGAATGACATAGATTCTGTTGTATACTAATTTAGATATTTTTCTGCTTCAGGCTCTGTATTTTCTGCAATAAGTCATAGTATTTCTCCAACTTCTAATCATAGTTACCAGTATTTGAACTTAAGATTTTTTTATTTGCAAAACAGGTCTACTCTACACATCTACTCTATTATGAAATCAAACTGTTGAATATCTAGGATAAGAGTAAAGGAATAAGTTTTATTTGATAAATTGATAAACAATTTAACAAAGATATTAATTTTGTGCCAGTAGAATATTTGTTCTGTGTTTGCAAATTTTTCCTGTGATGTAAGTTTCTATTGCAATAGAGATAGTCTATAGCAGGAGTGTCAAAGTCGATTTCATTGAGGGCCGCATCAGGGTTGTATTTGACTTGGGGTGGGGGGCTGGGATGGGTGTGGCTGGGGTGGGAATGGCCAGCTTGATGTTATTCATGTTGGTGGCACTTTTGGTGGCCTGAGTGCTCTTGCCAGGGAGAACAGGCTCCTGAGCTCCATTTTTGGCTGTGTTGGCCTCCTGCAACTCTCTGCCAGTGAAAGCAGAGATCTGTTTTCACTGGCAGAGGCACCACAGGCTGTTTCCAGGGTAGCTCTGTGGGCCAGATCTAAGCATCTCTCAGAGATTTGACCCCTGGGCTTTGAGTTTGACATCCTTGGTCTATAACAATAGCAATATTACTTAGACTTATATACCACTTAACATGGTATACAGCTCTCTCTAAGCTGTTTACAGAGTCAGCATATTGCCCCCAACAATCTGGCTCCTCCTTTTACTGACTTTGAAAGGATGGAAGGCTGAGTTAACCCTGAACTGCTCAGAATCAAAGTCCTGGAATGAGCAATGAGTTATCCTACAGTACTAGATTGTAACCACTGTGCCACCCATGGCTCTTATCATAAGTATAATCCCACCTAACAGTGGAAGAGGACTAGTGTCCTCATGATTTGGTTGTGCATATCAAAATTGACGATATGCCCTACTGTCTCTTTTAGTGATAATAACAGTACCTCTTCATTCAAGGGTGCATTTATCATGGCATTAATTTCAGCCCATGTAGAGACCTTTATCAACCAGGAGGCATGATTTGGGCCAAATCTGAAACTTTGTCCCCCAACTCAGAAGTGGGAGAAGTTGTAGGAGAAGGCAGGAAAGGGCTCCTTCATGAATATGAGCTTTCTTCCCTTGATGGGATGTAAATTAGGATTTCTTTGAGTTTGTGAATCAAATATGTTATTTCAGTCAGCATCTCTTAAAAAGCATTCTTTATAGACATTTCCCCCCATAATTACTCAATTATGCATCAAGATACTTAAGTATATTAACATTTTATCTTCAGTAGGTTAGCCAAAAAAAATAGAATTCATGTATTGGACTTATATCATGTTTCCTTCAAAGTGCATATATTGATGCTCCTTTGTCTAATTTTCCCTTACAACTATGTCCCTCCATGATAGGTTAACCTGCGAGAACAGTTAGCCAAAAGTCTGCAGTGAATGTTCAGAGTAGACTTGAACATGGGTCTCCAGAGTGCTAATCCTACATCTTAACCACTATACCACACTGGTTCTCACTTAATATTCTAGATCAGTGTTTCTCAATCTTGCCAAATTGAAGATGTATGGACTCCCAGAATTCCCTAGCCAGTAGATGGGTGGTAAATTCTGGAAATCCTGTCTGGGGAATTGTAAGAATTGAAACCCACACATCTTCAAGGTGCCAAGGTTGAGAAACTCTTGTTATAGGTCAGCCTTACCCTATCTGGCATCTGTCAGGTATGGTTGGGATTGTAGTTCCTTGAATTATTGGCTAGTGTGACCTTTATCTAAGTACTCTGTGAACTGGAAGGAGAGGATTATGTAAGATCAGATCATGCCATGTAAGTCAAATAAAAAGGAAAGTAAATGCAAAAAACTTTGCCACATGGTGGCAGTCAATATCTTTAACAGAATAGTCAACTATAGGCAGATGTGTCATTTGAAGGTCATAAGGAAAAGAACAAGAAAAAATAGAAAGTATTTATCTCATCTTCCTAGTTTCTATTTTATTGGTTTGTTTTTCATGTTATACACTAGATTGCAAGTAGTCTAAATAGAACATTAAATAGTATTAAAAGTTGTGTTTTGAGAGATAGTTGTAAGCTATAGATCTCAATTGATTTAGAATCTTAAGCTATTCTGAAATTTGCAATAGTAAATAGTAAATGTAAGATACAGCTGTTTAACAGACTAATTAGCCAGACAATCATTTTCAATTACAAAATTCCATAATTTTTAATTTCATACATAGTGTAAATGGAATGTCATAGAATACAATTCAATATATGCTTACTCATAAATCCCATTCTTTTCAATGGTACTTTAATCTTTAAAATGTTTATCCAAAATTACCATCATTAAAACTTTACCTTTTCTGTTAATGAAGCTGTGCTGTTTCTTCCACTATTTGAGTCCAGTATATTAGCTAAGCTGACAATTCACATAATCTTGCCAGAGCTGATTTTGAGTTGATTTCTATGTCAGGTAGCCTAATTTTCAAATAAACATTTGAAGAGTACTTGTGAATCAACAATAATTCTGTATATTGGTTAGGAACTCTCAATGATTTTAACTGTATTAATTTTATTGCATTTATTGGATTAATTGGATTATACTATTATTTCATTTTATTTCTATATTCTTGCAGTTAGCAATTCGGCTATGCACAGAAACTCACTAGAAATCAAACTTTATGTTTCATTCATGTGTAATACGAAGGCAGGACTTTTTTGGTTTAATTATTATTTCTTTGAATGGTTGAACCTATAGCAACCAAAAAACTATGGTGATATTCTGCCAGCCTATTTTAATTTTGAAAATATAGTTTGAAGCAATTCAAGATTGCTCTGTGTTGGGACTGAACCCAAAGGCCGGTTTGATTTATGGGTATGCTTCTATTTTACCTTGAAGCATCTCAATAATCCCAAAGGCAGAAGATAGAAGCAATTAAAAAAAAATTCCTACCTCAACAAAATGCTTTGCCTTTGTCTTCCATGATTGCTTGGCTAGGCATCTATACAGCCTTCAAGTATCAATTAAATTATGGAATTATTGTTTAAGCTGTTATCAAATATCACAAGTGTTATAAGCAGTGACCTGGTCGGAACAAGAGAGCTATTTGCATAATTCTAATATCTTCAGTTACTTGTAGGCACATTTGTAAAAGGAATTTCAGCTCACTCCTATTGCCCTTCTGGAGTTAACAAATTGGAATTAGATTATCCCTGAATCTGTGGGGAGCCTCCAGCTAATATAGTCAGTCTCTGAAGTCTCTTGTTTTTTTCCATAGATTTAGGGGTGTCTGCGTGGGTGAGTGGGAATCAATATGGCAGCTTTGACTTCATGGTTGCATCCTATCATCCTGACTTTTCTTTATCACCCAATCCCTGCAGACACTCCAAATTGTTATTAATCATATAATTTTGAATTAATTTTATTCTTTTTATCTTTATTTGTACAGTGAAATCCATTTCAGCTCCTCTAGTACAACTACCTCAGAGATCCAAGAAGCATCTATTGGAGATCATGGACGAAGGGCACGGCAACAACAGTTCTTACTGATGCTGGCACGGGGAGCTCTTTCTGAAACCCACCGGGTATCATGTAACATTTCAGTACCTATACATTTAAAAAAAACATTGTGAATATCTTCCAGTCTAGCTATATAAACTTGCATCTTTCAAATGAGGTTGGTGTTATAGCACACAAATGGAAGAATAGCTAATTTTCCACTAAGCATCAGCTATTATACCTAATTTGATGCTGATAAAAGAGATTTCTAAATTTGATTTGATGATTTTTTTTAAAGGAGCATGAGTTAAGAGCAACAACATTGTTGTGAGAAATTTTATCTCAGTATAAATGTATGTATGTATGTATGTATGTATGTATGTATGTATGTATGTATGTATGTATCAGTGGTGGGTTGCAGGTACAGGCATACTGGTGCCTGCCTGGAGAACTGGGTACTGTTCCAGTACAGTGCTCCCACCCCGCCCACCGGAGGTCTTTACCTGTATTTGAGCTACCTGTGATTGCCTGAACAAGACCCTGCAGTTTTCTTGGCAACATATTTTTAGAAGTGGTTTGCTTTTGCCACTGCCCTGGGGCTGAATAACAATGTCTATTATAAATCACTCAGCTGATTTTATGCTTAAGGTGGGACTAGAACTCAGGACGTCCAGGTTTCCAGACTAATACCTCTTAACCACCACACCAAACTGGTTCTAAATAAAATAATAAAAATGTTTTCCCCAGTATTTTCTTATCTAATGCCATTTGTGTTCAAATTATAGGCAACACTTAAATGTCACACAAAGAGCAACCTTGTGGGGGGGGGGCTTAGATTGTTTTGTTTTGGTCTATTTCAATTGATAATCTCATAAGGGCAGTACGAACATCCCAGCATTTGCCATGGGCAAGAAATTAGGCAAGACTTAATATAATCAAGTTTTTAAAAAAAAGGTTAACCTGTAAAAAAATATTGACTATGATCATTGTTTGATTTTATCCACTGAAAAAGAAATAACTATCAAATGGTATCAAAACCCTGTTTTTCTACAAAGCAATGCTATGAAAATAATATACAATTCTTTTTTTTAAATTTCATGTTGACAGCATTTTAGCGAAGACCTTGAGGATTCTTCATGCTCATCAGCTCAAAGAAAAATTAATACACAGTTTTACAAATTTATTGTATTTCCTGGCAAATGGATAAAAATCTGGTACGATCGACTCACCTTGCTGGCATTGCTGGACAGGTAAGTTTCATACTGAGACGTAGCATTCACTGAAGGTTGAGCTTGTACTGTTAATTCATAAAATGTTAGCATGTTTCTTATGTTATTTTTATTTTTAAATCTCTTAATGGGCTTTAATCAGTACAAATTTCAGATTTGTAAATGTGTGTGTTTAATACATGTGCTTAATATCAAAGTGAAAACTAATAGCTGTCCTCCTTCAAATGATACATAAAGTGTGGCAATAGCCTTTTCTTATATTTGGACCTTCCCTACTTGTAAGTAAAACCAAGGATGTGTTTGAATCTTAAGGCAAATGGAAGATCTAAGTGAGGGTCCTAAACAGTGGTGGGTTCCTACCAGTTCGCACCAGTTCAGCCAAACTGGTAGTGGTTTGGCGACATGGGTCGCTGGAACCTGCCAGGCCCCCGAATCGGTTCTCTGGGTGGCGCCATGGGTGCTGCCACCTTGGTTTTTGCTTCTGCCCATGCTCAGAACAATTTTTATTACACTGCGCATGCGTGAAACACACAAGTGTGCACGTACACTTGTGCGCCCACGAGCAAACCGGCAGTAGTGCCTGCCAGAACATACCCCTGGTAAACTCCAGCAATCTTGGAGTCTCCTCCAATAGATGCTTTTCTCTTCAAAATCAAGCTGAAAGAATAGGAAAGGAGAAGAAAATGTCTGCCATGTTTTTCAACCTCAGCAACTTAAAGATGGATGGACTTCTACTCCCAGAATTCCCTAGCCAGCATAATACAAATGTAGAGTTGGTTGAGAAATTCTGGGAGTTGAAGTCCACCCATCTGCCAGGCTGAGAAACACTGGCTTAAGGAAAGAAGTTGACTGATCAGATTAAACAAAAATATCTGCTTCTGCCTTATATTGTTGAAAGCTTGACATAGTCAGAGCTCTAGTTACCCTTTATGTGATCTATAATCCAACCTTTAAAGAATCTTCTTGCCTGAAAGAATTCACATTGATATGAAGATGCAGGTTTGTGAATCTTAAAACATGGTCCATATATTTCTATATTTTCTAAGCAGCCATGGAAATAGAAAGGTGGATCTGTTAAATTACATGTTGGATACAGAGGTGGGTTGCCAATTTTTTTACTACCGGTTTGGGTGTGCTTCCCCACGCACACAACACTTCTGCGCATGCCTCCCGCTGCCACTACTACCGGTTCACCTGATCCTGGCCGAACAAGCAGCAACCCACCTCTGGTTGGATATTAAATGATGCATTTTAGTGGCCTGCTCATTTGCATTCTATCTGTAATCTTAGGAACAAATTCAGAAATGTTCCTACCAGTTCACACTGGTTTGGTGGAACCGAACGGCATGTCGGCCACGCCCCCGAACTGGTTCCTTGGTCACCGCAACATCTTTTTTTGACCTTTTAAATGTTCTGCGCATGCACAGACCTATTTATAGGCAACTGAGCACAAGTGAAATGAGCGTGCACATGCAAAATTACATGCACACAGAACCAGCGGTAATGCCGGTAGAAACCCACTCCTGAACGAATTCCTGATAGCTCTCTAACATTAGGAGAGACATGAGTGTAAGGGTATTTTCGATGGCTACATATACATTAGGGCTTTTGATCCCTGAAGAGCAATTACCAACAAACCCCATTTCTTGCTTTGCTGGTTATTAATCTCTTTTTAATCCAGGTTTTATTTATTTATTGTATTGATTTACAAACATTTGTATGCCACCAATTGTCAAGAGTCTAGACACTAGATAGATAGATAGATAGATAGATAGATAGATAGATAGATAGATAGATAGATAGATAGATAGATAGA